TCGTGTCTTTCGCTGTCATTATTAAGACGAGCGTACATAATAACAAACAAAGAACTCGCGAATTTGCTCACACTGTCAGCATATCGCCACAACGGTGTATTCTTATTGATCCCCATGCGAGAGTTGTACTTTCGGATTAGAGGAATCTAACTCGAAGAATACCGTAAAACTCAACATTACACAGAATCAATGACGTCAGTCAGTGATGAATTCTCTCCATGAGAGACTTCTCGAACTCCTCTATAATGGCTGCAGTGTTTTCCGCATCATCAATTTCACTCGAGCTTCCAGAGTCACCAGGGCTGCAATAAACTCGCTGGACTAGAATGGATATTATACATTCTAGTCCTCCGAGTTTTTAAGTGCTTAGTGCTTAACAAACACCAAGTGAAACCATGTCGTTGCTCGAAGCAATAGTGCAACTGTGCATCAAATTGTCACCTGTTGTTGTCGAATTCAGCTGCTGGAACCTTCTTGAATACCCTCAACAGGGACTCGCGAGGGAACTGTCCGACCAGGCCATGATGCGACCTCGCACTCATAACCTGAGGGGAAACTCGAATGAACAGCAGGGTGCAATCTAGGGCCTCTAATTGTGAGGACAACGAACCTCTATGGGACGCATTTTACTCGGACTCTCCCCGCGTTCGACCTGTGGGTAAACCAGAGCGCACTCGCAAGTTGATCAGCTCACTCTGGCAGCAACGCCACTAATAATGCTCAGGGACTGTATTTCCTCGCGGAATTCAGCTTCCCTTGCTAGAACATCGTCACGCAAGCCCTCGATGAGTTCCATCAAACGTGCATTCCTCGTCTGAGGCAGATCCATAGAGCATGTCTACAGTAAACACGTAATCCGCAGTGGAAAAGTCAACATCCACTGCCGCAGTTCAAGTTGCACAGGTTATCGGAAAATAGACTATCATGTGAGAAGGGTCTGAGCTCGACAACGCTCTGTCTGAGAGCCGACTAACTACACTGTAGTTACTACAGGAGCATAAAAGTGGGTACACTTCAGAAGAGACCAGCTATGCTATTAAAATTTCGGGAAATTCTTCAAAACCAGCCGTTAAAAAGTTGAAAAAGGCGATATTTTCCAAAAGAAGTGAGGAAATTACTGAAATTTCGGGCAAAATATTAAATCGACCTGAAAATGCTGTAGATTCCAGTCTTATCGCAGAAAACTTGATCTCACAGGCCATGGCTATTCAGTGCTTGCTACGACGAGCTTACCTCCATTGCTTTCTCCATAACAGGAAAATATTCTCCCCGTCTACAGGCGTCATCGAAACTGAACAAAGAAAAAATACTTTCTTCGCTGGAGTTCAACCTGTTTCACGTGAAGTGACAAAATACTCCATTTAAAAAGCGCAATATTCGCGATACGAGGTGAATCAAAAACACTTCGCGAATCACACGAGACGAATCCCTAGTGGTGGTTTACCGCATAATCGTTATGGCGCTCACCGTTTCTGTCGACTAGCTCTAGCCCGTTTGTTAGCATCTATGCGCTGATTTTCTCGAATGATATCTTTCAGCCATTCAACTTTCTCGCGAGTCCTGAGGCTCTGTACGTTGGCGATAATAACGACAATAACTCAACGTTTTCTTTCCCTCGACTCTTCTTAATGCATCCTCTAGCACGGCCGCTGAAGTCACGTCCCTCTTTTTTGGGGCGGCTCGAGCTCTCAAGTTTCTTATTGAACATACCTGTCAGCACTGAGACGAACCGAATCGCTTTTCGAGTCGCACCCGATTCGATGGTGTAGTATTCGAGGTTGAGTAAGCAGTTGCATTCATGAGCCCAGTAGAACCCTCAATGCGAGGTCGTAGCTCGGACATGAGTATTGGCTCAAGTACACTAAACCCGTATCTGTCATCATCATACCGTCAGGAAGGCTCATGAGAATTGGGATCCCAAAGGATTTGACGCTGTGCGATGTAGTCAATAACTCTTCAGTGGTGACTTACCCGTTTTTGGGGATATATCGATTTGCAATGAGTCGTTCACCTTGTATCTTGATGACATCAACGAATTCGAGAGCCGTGTCCTTTGACTGCTCACTGTTGCTTCTCTTTTTAGCCTGTCCGTTCCGCGCACACGATGAGTTTTCGCACAGTTCAAATCACCATAGTCGTATCTGAACTACACTTTGGTTCATCCATACCAAGCCATTGTATTAACAGTTGCAACGGGCTCGGAGGCCGTTTGAGATCTTTCTTACTGCATGTGTCGCCGCCAACTGAAAGTGTATAATCGGCAGCTTAGAGCCACTGGAGACGCACCTGGCCCTCTAGGCCGCTCCCAATCTCTTGATGAGGGCAATCTCACTCGAGACTTGAAACACTCAAAGTCGTCGATATTTCTATACCTGGGGTCGGACGTAATTTTCACTTGAGAGGTTAATAGTATTTCATCAGACTACGAGTATAAAAAAATCAACAGCTAGAAGCTCTTACGTTTGTTGAGCTAAGGCTTCCGCTCTAGTTCCAGAAGATATAGGTGCTGTTATGGGTACTTGCTTGCTACGATTCATTGGAAGCTCAAATGGTGGTAGGATTCGTGACGATGTACTCTCAACTACGCAAGTGCTAACAAGTTGGCAATCTAACCATACCATACACACAAACAATATCAGTCAGCGACGACGCTTCCAACGAGATCAATGGATAGGCGGATAGCTGATACGAGGAATCAATACTATCGTCTGCATCACGGGAGCTCCACCCGAAGCCACGGTATGTACAGCTACGAGGCTTTCTCGGACGAGAGACTGTCCAATGTACCAGTTTTGATTACGAATCTTATCGTCTTGTGTTGCATATAGCACTGATGGTGACTTCAAGCTAATCATCTTTTATCGAAAACTCTGTATACGCCCGGGAGCCTTTTTTCTACTCAGTAGCGGCACAATGTGCACTCAAATTGACAACAAATACAACACGTGATCATGTTTGGGGTAAATGGTGCAAACCACGACACTTGCTTCATCAACGGACTCAACTCGAGGACGAGGACGATGTTGACGATAATGATGCTGCTGGTCTTCCGATATCAGTAGTCGATCTCGCCGTAGCTCCTTCGGATGGGGTCCAGAGGTCCACCAGGCGCTCCTCAAGAATGAACCTTTCGGGTCGGCCAGTGAGGTGAATCACGTGAGCGTTAGCCGTACCGATGCTCTTTGTATTTCTGATCGTCCTCAAAGGCTTCCTCATACGTCCACCCGATATTCTCAAGGCACTTGATGCAGAAACACACTCTGTGAGGAAATACGCATATGGTCAACTACGTGTGCTGGAGAGAATACGAAAACACTGGGGGAATTCTTATTGATTACTCAACACTTCAACTCGAACTGTGTGAACTCCTGAGCTCAGCTGAGGAAAGCGAACATATATTTCTCCAACACTGCAAGCAGGGGGAGCAACCAGGAATCGAACCCACGACTGACCTTATGGAGTGCATTCCAGTAGTCATAATAGTGTCTTCCTGTGGACCGAGAACAACATTAACCAGAGACTCCAGCAGCAGAGCCGCGCCCGTTCGCCCACGGAAGTTCGAACCTGAGCGGACGATATATTAAAAGTCGATTGAGACTATATCTGGAATCACAAGCAGTGTTGGAATATATGCTCGCTTTCCTCAGCTTTGAACTTTGGAGTTTGCTCAATAATTAGAGAAATTCACATACGAACTTGGGATAGGAGTATACAGAAGCCATTGAAACTTCCTCGAATTTCCTCAGTTTTGTCACCACACATGTGGTTGACCATGTGCATATCTTGCCACTTCGACACAAGACAACATTTGTTGACAACAAC